CAAAATACACATTTAGTTTTTCATTTTAGTGCCTTTCGTCCATTGGAAATCTATGTAAATTAGCACATATCTAGTGAGATATTTGCATATTTAAACCTTAAATTGTAGAAAACTTAATTATCTCAGTGCAAGTTGACACCAGAGGAAGTTTTCTTGTGAAATGTTTTGCACATAAATAAGAGTTTCCAGTGAATATGCACAGACTTTTACAATGCATATGTTTAAAGGCAATTTTCATAAAATAGCCATAAAACTCTAAAGGTTTATACAGAGGTTTGTTCATTTAACATTCGTAGCATGAGCTGTAGAATGCTTGCTTCCTAAAAACAAAGTGAACATGGATTTTAAAAAAATGCTTTAATATGTCAACCAATTGAAACCTGACTTTATCCAGTGTTGTTTTTTTTCTGTACTGGAAATGTATGCAAAGCAGCACATATTTAATTAGATAATATCTCATTTGCATATTCAAACATACATTTTCAGAGAACTTGTAGTTGCTTTAATGTCAGCTGAGGATGTTTAGCTGTGATAAAACTGCTTTCTTCATACCTGTCTGGCTGGAAAACATGAGAAGACACACGGTGCACAAAGAGACCTCTGGAGTCGTTGGACGTTCTCACTTAAACAGATGAACTGCTGCAACATGCGGCGGCTTAAACTCCTCAGTAGTCGTGAACAAGATCAAACTGTAGGCAGCTTGATAATAATAATAACTCCTGCCAAGTTCAAGAAATTACCTTATAGCTCAGGATGATAGAAACTCTGCTCTCAGACGGTAATAAAGTTGTAGAAACTTACAGGATTTGTCCACAGAGAGCAGAACTAAATAAAGGAACAACCAGGGAGGAATGCAATAACTCAGTGTGGAATTTCATAGGAAACGGGGAGTTTTGTCGCCTCGTGAGCTCCTCTGCTTAAGTGTTTGAATTTATGTGGCTCAGGTAGGTTGAGACCTCTGAAATAAACCAGCGCCGGTGGAGATTCGTTGGTATTTAGAGGGACGGATCACGCCGGGATGTACTTCAGTGTGTTTTTAATTGGATTATATCACAGCTGTAAATCTTATCATTCTCCTTTTTTCGTGCCCTTGCACTGCTTTTGACAAAATCTGTCCTTGTCCTATCTGACTTACTAATTTCCATCTCCTCCCATTTTTCACCTTGCCTTCGCATCTGTGAAAAAGATTGGATGGAGAGGAGGTGGGGGGTAGAGAAGCAGAGGAGGGCGAGCACGTCCACCAGCTTATGTGGTGAAGTAAATTTGACAGTGATCCTGTAATGAGATGAAAGATTTGTAAGGAGCTTTATACTTTGGAGCGATTCAAAGGGACATTTCTCGCAACAGCTGATGCTGCTAACAATTTCCTGCCCTGTTACAGGGTGGACTGATGATTAATTCATGTCTCCGCCGTCTTAACGAGGTTGTGCCCGTTAGTGGGCGGGAGGGGGAGGTGGGAGGAGGAGGAGGAGGAGGAGGAGGATTATGGATGCAGCAGAGTGAATATTTACTGCAGTTCCAAACAAAGTACGGGAGGCCCTCCTTTGGAGANTGTCTCCGCCGTCTTAACGAGGTTGTGCCCGTTAGTGGGCGGGAGGGGGAGGTGGGAGGAGGAGGAGGAGGAGGTGGGGGTGTGCACTCTGCGGCGCTTTGATATCCTACATTCAAGGCTGTGTCACACATTAATGACTTCTTTGAGCTGTGAAACGAGCATCATTATCTCTTTCCAAAAAGGGAAGGGATGAGAGATTTCAGCCCGGCTTGTATAAAGACAGGGGAGGAATCACTCACCGCCTGTGTGTGTGTGTGTGTGTGTGTGTGTGTGTGTGTGTGAGTGACACTTGAGCTCTGCAAGCTACACCTGCAGGAGAAGATGGAGGAGGAAGCATCTTCTGCAGTGCAACGGAAACTAATGATTCATTTTTGTTGATTTAATTGAATGAAGTCACACAGAGTTCCTACAATGCAGCCTGACCGCAGCTCGTTTATTTAAACTGGATTAGCAGCCACACCGGGTTAACTTGCGTTCTCCTTGAAGGACGCACGCCCATGGTCCACCCACGTGCGTTTTCCCCGTCACCTCGTTTGACCTCAGCGTCACGTGGGCGTGCACGGATTGGACCGGAGCGACCTTCCTGCTGGTTCTGTTGTATAAGCGTTTACATCTTTGTCATCCTTTGTGCTCACGAGTTCATGAAGTTTAATTCCAGTTCAACTTCAGCTCGAACCTCAGAGCTCAAGGCCTCCTCTGCTGCTCGCAACGGGAGGAAAAGTGAAAGCTGGCTCCTGCTCAAACATCCCAGTGAGCACATTAGCAGGAAACTGACCTTTTTATTGATGCCATTTACATTAAAATGCACTTTTCTGGCCGTGCTTTGGTGAAGTAAAAACTCTGATTTGTCCAGTTTGCCACCAGCAGCAGGTTAATAGTTGTGATTTGGAGCAACGAACATACATGTTTATGGCCTTTTCCACCACAGTAACCCAAATATTCAGCATGTATTTCTCTCAGGATGAATTGCAGTAACTTCCATCAGTGTTTCCTCTGCAGCCGCCATCAGGTCAGTTTTTAAAATGTCCAATTTATGACTGAGTGCAAATTTAAAACAAAACAAAACAAATAGGAATGAATCCCACAAATTTCCTGATGACGGGATTCCTGTTTTTTTTCTTTCTTCCCCCTGTGAGCTATTCAGCCACTTTCCCACCTTCCAGTCATCAAAATATTTTATTTTATTTCATTTTTTACCCTCAGAGAGGCTTTTCGTGCCTCTACATCTGTTCTGTCACTTCACGGCTGCCGCTGCGATGGGTTCGGGGGTCGCGGGAAAGTAGAGAGAGCTGGATGAGTGAGAGGGGTTTAAGTTCACGCCGAGAGTGGAGGATTGTACATTTCCTAAGAAAACAGGAGCAGCCATTTGAGTGGAGGTCACGGACATTTCTATGCATGCCGATGGAATAGGTGGAAGCGTTGGAGGAGAAAGGCCTCTTAAAACCAAATGAACTAAAAGCTCTTGGTGTTGAATGCTCTTCAGCCCGTACTCTCCCAAATGTACTCCAGCTCCAACAAAGCACTCGGGTCAGAAGGGATGTTTTATTGAAGCTTTTAGGCTAACTCTGATTCCCACTTAAAACCAACTTTAGTTCTCATTTCTGAACAAGACAAGGCCTTTTTCTCTGCATCGATTCCTGCGTTGCTGCAGCATGTTGTGAAGCAGAACGGTTTGTGTACACGATGGGAGACGTAGTATTTTGTGTGATAAAAACAAACCGGGAAGAACTTATATTGAATGGAGGCAAAAACTGAGTGATGAAGCTCAAACGTCCACCTAATGAGTAAAACTGAAAGATAACATAATAAGTTTCCTGGAGGCTTAATAACAATAACCCTATCTTAAACCTAATCTTACCCTAACTTCAGAATAATCAATAATAATTAACAATAAATAATTGATTTGCTTTATGAGGACTGTGTAAAAATGTGACACAGATTTATGTCCCTACAACAACATGTATATACCAACACCAGAACAGTTGTAGTGCTTTTAAAATCCACATGATGGCAGCTGTGAACTACCACAGTCTGCTTTGTGCCTCAGGTCCAGCATGAATTCAACAATTTGAAAACATCAAGCCCATTTTAAAAAATAAAAAAATCCACCCATGAAGCCAAAACGAACAACCTTGATGGATAAGAGACACGTGGGAGGATTGCTAGATGTATTAAGTCCCCTCCTCCACCAGGATCTGAAAAACTCCAGCAACTCTTCCTCTAAAACTCTAAATTACTGACTGCAAATCCAGCCTTATAACAACAATAAGTGACTGACACGACTCTTATTGAACCAGTTCTAAAAAAAAAATCCCACCTACGATTTGCTGCAACAAAAAAGTATAACAATGCTTCATCAGTTTTAATCATAGCAGCACTAAGTGGCCTCTTTAATGAAGCTGAACTTTTGGGAAGATGATTGTGTTTAATAACAGATAATGAGTGTAGAGACACAAGGTCCTCCACAGTGGAAGGCTTTAAAAACGAACATTTAATCTAAAATGATGGATTATTTTAATACTGATTATATAAATATTGATAAACTGATTATACACGAATAAAAATAAAAAGCATGAATGTTCATTTTCCTGAAATGTGGCAGCACATGTAGACAGGTTCTCCGAACAGCAGGTGGCGATGCGGAACTTTACTTCCGCTAACGGCCACCACAGAAGAAGAACTCCGCTAGGTTAGCTAGCAAGCTAGCTGTTGCAAGTTCTAAGTTTGGTTGGTGTTGAGCATCAAAATGCTGCTGCAGTCCGTCAGACCGTGGCTGCTCCGTTGCAGGACTCTACCGCTGGCCTGCAGCAGAACTTACTACGCGGATAAAGTCGCTCCAGTCGGCTCGCAGCCCGACAAGCAGTCCTCTGAATACCAGGTAGGTTAGCATGTTGCTAACGCCTGCTAGCCAAAATGTAACGTTACAGTTTGAGTCGCTGCTAATGTCAGCGGCGTCCGTTCACCTGGTGGAGGTGAGACTCACCTGGCAGGCGAGTGTAAAGTCACTCTGAAGTCTATTATTGTTGACAAGCATGAAAGCTGCAGTTTAGGAAAATAACTTTAGAGGTCAAAACCTTTGGAAGCTAATGTTGTAGCATCATCCTGACAAGTGAGTTGAGAACATTAGCCTGAGGCTAAACAGCAAAAATAGATTAAGGACAAAATCTACCCGAAGCAAACCCTGTCGTTCAGCTTTGTTTTTGATTTTTTGGTTGTCCCTGAAAGTGGCCAGACTAGTACCAGCAATACTTGTCACTTTAACATCTTCAAAGATTTAAGCATGTGCAATTTACACTTGTATTTTTCATTCTTTGAAGCTTTAATCCCTAGAAATGTCCACATAAAGCTATAATTTAATCATTTCAACCACTGTGCATCAGTTGGTACTCAGTGTCCACATTCAGGAGCAAACAACCAATTCATTGTCACTCATGTAACACCACAAACTGTCACTGGATGGCGCCACAGACACTTTTATATTCAGTAAACTGTACCAACATTGTGTTAAGTCAGCTGCACATATCTTCTTCTTCCATTTTCTTTTGACAGCTTGCAGTTTAATAAGTGTTAGCGAGCCTCTCTATTTTAAGCAGTCTGAGAGCTTACCGTGGCAGTTTAATTCGCTCCACAGCCATGATTTGGCCTATTTTTTTTATTTAGTTAGGAAGACAAATGTCACACTAACAGCTGTTTTCAGTTAAAAGTGCAGGTCTTACATGTAATCTTCTTCATAAATCTTGTTGGTGAGAAGGTTGGTGTCCTACTTTGTGTTTGGAGAAACTGATTATGAGGCGAATTGCTGTTACTGTGAGCGGTGTTGTGATTTAATTGTGTTTCTGTCATTAGCAGCTCGTGATTAATACACAGTGTTTTAGAAATCTTCCCTTAGGAAAACCAAAGTCTTGCTTGTTCGGATGAAGTTCTATCAACCTGAAGGACAAAACAGTAAGAACATGCTCTCGTTGTTTTTTTAGGAGAACTATGACCGGATGAAAGTTCTTGTTGATGAGCTGAGAAGCCGGACAGATAAGATCAGATTGGGTAAGTTTGAACGCCGCCGCACGGTTCCAAGGTAAAGTCGACTCTTTGTGTTTTAATTCCAACGGAGGAAATTAGTATCGGAGGTGGGGCGATGTGTGGTGAAACTGTCTGCAAAACACCTTTATTAATGCCTTTCTGCTCTGCTTAAGGATCCACTTGTGGATGATTAAGTTTTTAAGGACCCGCTTCTTCGTTCGTAGACTTCTTAGTTTATTGCCTTAATATAACTTCCTAATTAACTTCCTTCAATTAATAAAAAGCTAAGAATTAAGTCGATTCCTGCGTGTAATACAAAATGTTTTGCCGTAGGTTTAATGCAGGAGCTCTGGTATAGAATCAGGTTATAGTTTGGGGTAGGATCTGCATTTTTATTCTGTCAAAGTGTCACCAGATTGTTTGTTAACACACATTTTCCTTCTTTTTTTATTATAGGTGGGGGAGAAAAAGCAAGAAGACTCCACACTTCTCGTGGGAAACTCTTGCCTAGAGAGCGCATAGACAGGCTGCTGGATCCAGGGTATTATCATTTACTTCCATCTTGGATTCTGACAGATTCAAAATTCATGGCACTTTCATACCCACTAGATGCATAAAATTTGTAGTGCGCTGCTTTGGTGTCCTCGTATAAACCGCTGCACAGGTGAACTGAAGCACAGGGAAAGAGGATGGATAGTAGACGGTACGTGTCTCATCTACATCTAATAATTAACTGTTTTTTTTTTCATTTGGTTTTGTTGCAGGACACCTTTTCTAGAATTTTCCCAATTTGCAGCACATGAGCTATA